CCAGCTAGGCTGTTTATCTTGTGCCTCATGGTCTTTGCATAGGGTGATTTACCGGCTTGAAATGCCTGCTCATCTCTGTGCCCTTGTCTGGCTACCTCACATACATGCTTCAAATGTGACTTGTGTAGGAAGCCTTCCCAGTTGCCCAGGTCAGAGGCAGGCACCTTTGCCTGATTCTTTTAAAATCTCCCCCAACTCTCCCTCATCGGAGAGCTTATCACCCAGTTCTTTCCCATCGACCTTTTTGTCACCCTGAGAGTTCATCAGTGTGCACTGGGGCCTAGTGTGATGCATGGTGTGCAGTGTTCCACAAGTAATTGTCACATCAATGGATGAATGAACCTATGCATGGATGGCTAAGTATATGAATGGATAGATAAGTGGATAGGTAGACACATGATAAAGGAGTGATGGTTGAAAAGATGTATATATGGGGGTAGGTGGATGGATGGATGTGTGGGTGAGTGGGTGGATGAATATGTTGGGGGTGGCTAGATGGAGGACATTATATACATGTGTGAACACATGGACAGATAGGTAGCTGGAAAGTAGATAGATAAAATAATACAACAAATGAATGGTACATACACATGAACATCCATGGATAATGAATTCATACGTGAATAAGTGGGTCAATTGGTAAATAGGTAGATAAGGAATAGCTAGGTAGATGACTAGGTAGGTGGGTAGACCTCTCACCCACCCAGAAGATGTCTGAGATATCATAGGTGTCTGCCTACTGGCTTGTTCTGCCTAATAATTGGGAATTCTGGGCTGCTTTGCAGGTGCCTATGATAGAGAGGCTCTCCTGCCCAGGAGTGGCACATGGGCACATTTCTCGAGAGAAACAGAAAACAGTCTTGCATTGGGCACAGCTAGTGAGCTGTTTCTGTTCAGGGACAGGTGTTGTGGATATGGTCTTTGGTGTGCAGTGTTCCACAAGTAATTGTCTCCACAAGGGGAGACATTTGGGGAGCAGAGCATGGCTTGAGAAGAGCATCTGGTTCAAGGTGATGATGGTTAATGTATTACCTACAGCCCCAAGGTCCCCAGATCCAGGCTTCCTTTCTTCAGCTGGCCCCAGCCAGTCACCCAACAGAAAGGTGGGGGACACACATAGCTGGACCTTCTGGGAAAGGACCTGGGCCCTGAGACCTGCACCAGGCCACAGAAGGCCCAGTGGGAAAGAGGCTGATCATGTGCACCCCATGCCTTGCTGGCAGTGCTAAGGAAGTGGAGCAATCCTGTGCTCACCTGGGGGCTCACTTCTCTGCAGGGGAGCAGCCCTCAGTGGGTACCACCCTGACCTGACCTGCCCTCAGGAGGCTATGGGCCTGGAAGTGGGAGATGAGTGGAGCTACTCCAGTCAAGGGTGTGTGGTCTTGGCAAGCCCAGCCTCCATTTATGTATCAGGAAACCGAGGCCCAGAGCAGTTCAGAGACTCGGTCAGTGTTACAGAGCAAGTTGGGGTCAGAATCTTTCAGACTCTCTTCCTGTGAGTGGCTGAGGTGACCTGTGAAAATGGTTTGCTACTCTCGACCCAGAAAACCCCACAAAAATCATGCAAATCAAGAGGCTCAACTCTTCATGTTCACTTTAAGAACACGCATGAAACTGCCCAGGCCATCAAGGGTATGCATATCTGAAAGGCCACCAACTATCTAAAGGATGTCACATTAAAGAAGCAGTGTGAGCCATTCCAGCATTACAGTGGTGGAGTTGGTAGGTGTGCCCAGGCCAAACAGTGGGGCTGGACACAGGGTCGGTGGCCCAAAAAGAGTGCTGAATTTTTGCTGCACATGCTTAAAAATGCAGAGAGTAATGCTGAGCTTAAGGGTTTAGATGTAGATTCTCTGGTTATTGAACATATTCAGGTGAACAAAGCACCCAAGATGCACCGCCATACTTATAGAGCTCATGGCTGGATTAATCCATACATGAGCTCCCCTTGCCATATTGTGATGATCCTTAATGAAAAAGAACAAATTGTTCCTAAACCAGAGGAGGAAGTTACACAGAAGAAAAAGATATCCCAGAAGAAACTAAAGAAACAAAAACTTATGGCACGGGAATAAATTAAGCATAAAATAAATGCAAACAAAAATTTTTAAAAACTCCTCCAGAACCCAGCTGCCTGCTTCTAATACGCTAAATAGACTGGGTGGGGCTGATCACATACCCACCCACCCACACCCCCCCCACACACCTGCAAACTGAAACACAGATCACACCTTCTTTCTCAGGCTTATCATAATAATTTATATTATTGTTGCCACCAAAGAGACAATAGGATATCATGGCTGAGTGCTTGGGTTGGGAAGACAGATGGTTTGCTCTTTTTTTGGCAGCACTGGGGATCGAATTTGGGACCTTGTACTTGCCAGGCAGATGCTTATGCTGCTGAGCTATCTCCCTGGCAAGACTGATGGTTTGGGTTCCAGTTATTTGCCTAATTCTCAGCTATGTGATTTTAAATTTAACCTCTTGGTGCCTCAGATTCCTCAATTGCAAAATAGGTGTTACATAAACCTCTCTCCCAGGCTGCATTATTGAGGGTGAGTTCACCACACAAAGTGCTTGGGACATACCTGTGATTTAAGGCTGGGTCTGTGTGCATATATCAAAAGTGAGCTCATGTATAGGTGTGCATGAGTGTGAAGCTTAGAGATACACATGTGTTTGTCCTTGTAAATATTTGAGCATGCTCGTGTGTACAAGCACAAGTGTGAGTCACATGTGTGAGTGCTGTGAGTCTACCAGACAAGCCGGGGGAGAGTGTGTGTTTGTATACACAGTGTCTGTGCAGAGTGTGGGGTAGGTGGAGTGGCGGGGGTGATGGGCATGTACACATGAACACAGAGCCATCTCTTGCCCACATTTGGGTCACAGAAACCTACCCAAAGAGTCCCAGCCAGGGAGACTTGTTTTTGTTTTTTTATTTATTTATTTAGCATAGGGGTTCGTCATGCAACTTGGACTCATAGTGATCCTCCTGTCTCAGCATCCCCAGTGATGGGATTATAGGTGTGCGCCAACATGCCCAGTTTTGGTGGCCAGCATGGCATGCCTGGGTTTCCTGGGCCAGCATGGCTTGCAGTAGAAGGTATTGAGCCTGGGTCCTTCCATTTGTCAGGCAGGCGCTTAGACCATTGAGCTATTTCCCCAGCTCTATTTTTTGTTCTGGAGACCCATTATTCCAAATCACTCTAATCCCTCTGCCACCAGTTTAGAAGCTGGAACCAGACAGAGGTCAGGATAAGCCAACAGGGTTGAAGCATCAGAACCTATCACAGGGGAAGCAGACAGAGGAAAGGCAGGCACAGGAGCTCTTGGTTTCAGATCGGTGACTGAAGGCTGGGTTTGCACAGTAGCAGGCCCACAGGTGTGGGCTGTGGGTGGGTGGGCAGGAGGGGAGGCACTGCCTGAGGCTGCAGGATCAGGCCAGCTTATCTGGAAGGAGCCCAGTTCTGCCAGCTACTGAGTTGTGAACCCATACGAGTACACAGAGGCTTCCCCTTGGCCTCCCTGGATCCACCTGGATTCAAGTCCTGTACACAGCCATCACCGACCTGGACAGGAACGATGGCCAGCAAATGGCCCTATGTGAGTCAACACTTGGCCCAGTGGGTCCATAGTTCTCTGACCCAGTGCAGGTTCTGGAGGACAACGGCTGAGGCGCTCATGGCTGTGTTCTAGCACTGTGTGTGAGGTGGATGAATGGAGGGCAGGGTGCACTGATCAGAAAGCCCGGTTTTAGGGTCCCAGACTTACTCTGCCCCCTTGGCTGAAATTCCCACATGAGATCAGGGACCTACGGCCTCCTGCTCCTCTCCCATGGGTTCCACCATCACTCAAGTTGCTTCTCCATCTCCAGAGGATTGTCCACCTTGCAGGACAGGCCTGGCTCTGTGTGGTAGCCCTGTCCCTGTGAGCCTCTGAGGCATCCCTGACTGCTGGTGGTGATCTGGCCTGAACTTCTCTGGAGTCTGAGTCCCATCACCCCCACCTCCTCTGCATCTCACCTGCTAGGACTTAACTGTGTCCTCTCAAAGCTCAGAGAGGTGACAAACTCAGGGCTACTCAGCAGGGAATTGAACTCAGATCAGTCATGGTGCAAAGCCTCAGTGGCATCAAACCCATCAGGAGTTAGCTTTCTAAAACTATAGTCACCCTAAGGCACACCACATCAGTCTGGAGGCCATGGTGCCTCAGGAGGGATGGGTGCCTCAGGAGGGAGGAGGAGGAACAGACAGATGGTAGTCAAGGTATGGTGAGAGAAAAGCCTAGAGAGGAAGACTGTAGCCAGGGAACGCAGGCGGGGTGGGTCGAATTATGATCGGATAGTACTAGGGGGCCCTGGAAGGTGTTTGACCGTATTGGGGTCACGTGCGCCCACATCCATGCTGGCTGTGCAGTGGAGAGAGGATGGGAAGAGGTGAGGGGCCCAGCCAAGACACAGTTGCAAGGTGCACAAGTGACTCTGCACAAGGGGGGAAAGACCAGAGGATGTGCAGGGCCCAAGGGTGCTGAGGAAGGTTGAGGCAGAGATGGATCAGCGTGCAGTCCTGGGAGAAGGTGGTAGGATGGATGTGCAGACCCCCACGCAGTCTAATGGCACTGTGCATGCCTCACTGGGAGACAGTAGTGGACAGGAACACTGGAGACCAATAATGGCCTCTTGGGCTCTGGTCCGCTCCTGTTGCTTTCTTTCCTGTTCCCACATTTTTTCTCTTTGCCCACCCTGCCCTGAGGCCCTGAAGGACCGTGGCTGACCCTGAAGGGGAAGTAGTGGCCCTCGATCCCACCCAGAGCCTCTTCCCTTTTTGCTGCGCACACCCACATGGTTTCTCTGTCTCTCTCTCCGTCCCCCTCCCCCTCCCTGTCCTTATCTTTCCCTTCAGTCTCCATGGCGACTCACCACCTCGGCTTGCTTGCATCCCAGCCTCTGCCAGGGATTCAGAGCCAGCCTCCCTCTCTCCCTCCTTCCCTCCCTCCCTCCACAGAAGGCCTGTACCCGCAGCCCTGTCTCCTCCCCCTGGGGTGAGTCCAGCGGCAGCCTCCTCTTTCCAGACCAACCGACCCACAGCACATTGATTCTCCAGCTCTGACAGAGTCGGCTCCTCGGGGAGGCCGTCCCCCGCCCCTCCCTCCACCTACCATAGCTCAGCCAGCTTGTCAGGAAAGGCTAAGCGTACCTCCAGCTGAGGGTCTCAGGGGCCTCCTTGCTCCGTGGCAGACCCGCTTCCATCGCAGCCTCCCATGCCGAGGCCCACCTTGTCAGTCACTTCCTTTTGTCATCGGCTTGGCAAACGGGCAAGTGTTCAGTCCTCAGATCTGGGAAGGAGGCTGAGGGTGGGAAGGAGCCACCTGGGGTGGGGGATGGGCCTGGGGAAGGGGAGGAGGGCCCCTGGAAACTCAAGATGAAAATAGGAGTCTGAATTTTGTTTTAAATACCCCACCCCTCCTTTCCAGGAGAGAAAACGGAGCTTCATGGGAAACAGCAGCAACAGTTGGTAAGCGGTGGGGGCCTGCTGGGCTGGGATTGGTGCAGTGGGCCTGACAGGTCAGCTGGAGATGGCTGGGCCAGGAGCACAGAGACCTGCGGCCAGGCCCAGGTGGCTGAGGGCTCCGCAGGGATCTCCATGGGAAGGGAAAAGCAGGCTGGATTGGCCGGGTTGTGGAGGGGTGGACAGGGACAAGCAGGTGGGTGCTGCAGGGAGGCAGATGCTCGGCTGCTGAGAGTGAAAGAAATTTTCTGAGAGCCAGAGCCATCTGCTCAGCTGCAGAACAGGCTGCTTGGGCACCAGGAGGCTTCCACCCTGGCTTCATGTCCCAGCAGCTGGGGTTCAGAGTTTATCATTCCTTGGGGGGTCTGGCTGGAGTCAGCTCCTCCTTGAGGGGTCCTGCTACAAGGGGTGGGGGAGGGTTTCCCCAGGCATGGGCACCAGGCACACATGTCATGCCAGATGACTGCCTCCATGCCCAAGTGCCGGGTGCCACTAACCTCTCTATTGCAGTTAGGAAACTGTGACCCAGAGTGGGAAAAGATCTTGCTGCTATGGGGTGTGGCAGGCAGAGCCAGCTTTCTCGCTCTTGGGGACCCTCTCACCATTGCTCTGCAGCCACCAGGATCTGGGGTTCGTGTGAGTGAGGAATGGGCAAAGCTCAGCTCCATCTGTCTACGGAGACCCTAAGGGAACCTGAGGTGGCACGGACGGAGCTCTATCCCCAGCCACCAGCCTGACCCCAAAACCCTGTCCCTGATGAACATTCTACTTTCAAATGGCCTGTCCTTTCCCCAGGTCTCATGCACCATTCCCCAAGTTGGAACTGGGCCTGGGGCCCCGCACTGCTGCACCCCGGGAGCTGCCTGCCTGCTCCATCTGTCTGGAGAGGCTACGTGAGCCCATCTCACTGGCCTGTGGCCACGACTTCTGCATTCGGTGCTTCAGCACGCACCGTGTCCCCGGCTTCGAGCCACCCTGCTGTCCTGAGTGCCGGAAGATCTGCAAGCAGAAGAAGGGCCTCCGCAGTCTGGGGGAGAAGATGAAGCTCCTGCCGCAGCGGTCATTGCCCCCTGTGCTGCAGGTGAGGGGACCAGGCCTCAACGTGGGGTGGGATGCATAGAAGTCTCTGGGTCAGATTCACAAAGTGGGGTGGTGTGGGACCTGAGAATGTCAGGACAAAGAGTCCTGGGCTGGACACACTCCAGACATGGGGCTTCTGGATGGTCAGTGGACCCTTCTCCCCTGTCTAGGAGAGCTGTGCCATAAGGGCAGAACCACTGCTGCTGGTGCGCATCAACGCCTCAGGGGGCCTCATCCTCAGGATGGGGGCCATTAACCGCTGTCTGAAGCACCCCCTGGCCAGGGACACCCCTGTCTGCCTCCTTGCCGTCCTGGGGGAGCAACACTCAGGGAAGTCCTCCCTCCTCGACCACTTGCTCCGGGGCTTGCCGGGTCTGGTGAGGGCAGGGCTGGCAGGAGGCTGGAGGGAGGCGAGGCAAGAACCCTGGGTTGGCTATGGGTGAGGAGGAGCTGAGTCTGAAACCCAGTGTCTGGGGATCTGGAATGGACAAGCTGATGCCCCCTTCTCTGCCTGCAGGAGCCTGGTGGTGAGGACAGCTGGTCCAGAGGAGGAGAAGGGTCCCTGCAGGGGTTCAGATGGGGTGCCAATGGCCTCAGCAGGGGCATATGGATGTGGAGCCACCCCTTCTTGCTGGGGAAGGAGGGAAAGAAGGTGAGTGGAGGAAGGGATGAGGGTAGTCAGGGTTAAATCAAGGAGGAGAAGGGATGAGGGGGAGATAAGGGAGAGAGAAGAATAGGAAAGAGGAAGCAAGAAGGAACACTCTGGGACTTTGGGGTGAGTACAGGAAGACTGGTCCAGGGGAACAGGCCTGGCCCCTCAGCTTGTCCTCCCCACCCCATGCATAGGTGGCTGTGTTCCTTGTGGATGCGGGAGATGCCATGAGTCCTGAGCTGAGCAGAGAAACAAGGATCAAACTCTGTGCCCTCACCACCATGCTGAGCTCCTACCAGGTGAGCATGGCCAGGAGATCAGAGTTCTTCCCAAGTGCCCTTCCCTAGCTCGGCTGTCTGAAGGCTGAGGGCATCTCACAGGTTCTGGGTATGCTCCTGGATGGGGCAACACTTATAGTCTGTGAGGGTGGGAGCATGGGTGGGCTGATGGTCCTTGGTTCTGGGTTAGGGGTCTGAAGGCTCACAGGATCCCAAGGCCATCTCAGCCAGGACGTATCAATCATCTGCACACACGTAGAGGCCTCAGGCCGGGCCTGCCTGTGCTCTGGGGCCTGCAGCTGTCCGGCAGCCCCTCTCACAGGACCTTTCCAGCAGCACTGGGCCTCTGCACACCCTCCTGCATTCTGTTCTTGATTCCAGATCCTGAACACCTCCCAGGAGCTGAAGGACATAGACCTGGACTATCTGGAGGTGAGGAGATCTGGGCACAATCAATCCACCCCTGACTTAAGACCAGGGACCTGGGCCAGAGGAATCTAGTCTTCCAGGTCTAGGCCAGGGTGTTATGGCCCTTGAACTTGGTGGGTTGGTGGGGTTGGTGGGGATGAGGGTAGAGTAAACAGCACAAGATGCCTGGTGTGGGGGACAGACAAGAGAATCTCAGAGCTAAGAAGTGGGAAGCTTGACTCTTGCAGAGAGACATAGGGCAGTGAAGAGATAGTTTGAGACAAGCTGCAGCCCTGGGAGGGCCCTGCTCTGATATTCTCTGTACCCATCCCCAGATGTTTGTCCATGTGGCTGAGGTGATGGGCAGGCATTATGGGATGGTGCCAATCCAGGTGAGACATTTGTTTCTGGACTTATTAGTGTAAACCCTGACCCTCCCAGCTGCTGGTCAGGATGCCTTCTCTTTCAGCATCTGGACCTCTTAGTTCGTGACTCATCCCACCCCAACAAGGCAGGGCAAGGTCACATGGGTGACATCCTTCAGGTAAGCAGTGCAGTGGGAGGGGAGGAAGGCAGGACAAGGGCAGAGAGGTTGGGAGGGCTTGTGGGAAGGTGCTCACAGTGGGAGCCTAGCCCTGGCTGAGAGCCCGCTTCCATCCTTCTCTCAGAAGTTATCTGGCAAATATCCCAAGGTCCAGGAGCTTCTCCTAGGGAACCGAGCCCGCTGTTACCTCCTGCCTTCCCCAGGCGGGCGGTGGGTGAACAGAGGCCGAGGAAGTCCCCGAAGTGGTGAGTGTCCCTAACAAGTCCTCCTGTGCATTGCCCCCGGCTCCCTGGAACCTATGCAGTACCAAATCCCACCAAGCCTTTCTCCTTGCAAAGCCCTGGTCTCCTCAGTATGAAGAACCTCTTCTTAGACACAGATGATGACTTCCGCCACCTTCTTCGGCCCTATGTCTTGGATGTGCTGAGTGCAGCCCCCCAGCACGCTAAGAGCCGCTGCCAGAGCTACTGGAGCGAGGGGCGCACCGTGGCCAGGGGAGACAGACGCCTACTCACCGGGCAGCAGCTCGCTCAGGAGATCAAGGTGTGAAAACTCCCTGGAGCCCTGGCACTCAGCAGGTCCCAGCTCTCCCTGACCCGGCCATGGTGTCTCTGCAGAACCTCTCGGGCTGGATGGGGAGGACAGGGCCCGGTTTCAGCTCTCCTGATGAGGTACGGAGCCTCCCTGTTCCCTAAGGATGGGTGTCTGGGAGCGTGGAGGGAAGGTGGGCTCTGGGCTGAGCCCTGGGGGTGGGGGTCTGGGCCTGGAAGCAGAGATGAAGAACAGGTGACCAGGCCAAGGAGGAAGGAGGGAGGCAGCCAGGGTTTTCCCGTGGACAGATGGCTGCTCAGCTGCACGACCTGCGGAAGGTGGAGGCCGCCAAGAAGGAGTTTGAGGAGTATGTAAGGCAGCAGGTGAGCCCCAGCCTGCAGGGGAGGCAGCGGTCTGCCCGGTGCTGGAGTGGGGATGCCTGGGTCTCCCAGCTGCAGCACCTTCTTCTCTCTCCTGTGACCACAGGATGCAGCAACCAAGCGCATCTTCTCTGCACTCCGAGTCCTGCCAGACACCATGCGGAACCTGCTCTCCTCCCAGAAGGACGCCATCTTGGCCCGCCATGGAGTGGCCTTGCTGTGCAAGGAGCGTGAGCAGACCTTGGAGGCCCTGGAGGCTGAGCTGCAGGCCAAGGCCAAGGCCTTCATGGACTCCTACACTATGCGCTTCTGTGGCCACCTGGCCGCAGTTGGGGGTGCCGTAGGAGCTGGGCTCATGGGCCTGGCGGGGGGCGTTGTGGGTGCAGGCATGGCTGCAGCTGCACTGGCAGCAGAAGCTGGGATGGTAGCAGCAGGGGCGGCAGTGGGGGCCACGGGGGCTGCTGTGGTAGGGGGTGGTGTGGGTGCTGGGCTGGCTGCCACTGTGGGCTGCATGGAGAAGGAAGAGGATGAGAGGGTGCAGGGAGGAGACCGAGAGCCCCTTCTCCAGGAAGAGTGACAGCCCAAGAAATGTTCAAGAGTGGGAGAGATATGAGGTTGGGGAGATAGTAGAGGGTGAGGGTGGGCGATACCCAGGATGCTGAGGGGCCCACATATACCACAGTGTTCCTGTGAATGCCCTCTGCCAATCTGGGGACTCAAGGTACATCCAGGAACCCAGAGAGGTTTTCCAGGTCAAGAAAACAGCCAGTGAGTAGAGCACAGGGTCTGTTTCTGGCTACAGATGATTGTTGATCCACTGCTGTCCTGGTCCTAGGTAAGCTTGACCTTGGGGTTTTCTGCTATGAGCAAGGTGCCACCCTCCCGCTCCAGCTTATTTCCCTGGAAGATCTTGGATTGGAGCAAGGTGGAGCAGGTGTCACCCTGCAGGTCTGTTCCTGGTTCAATAGCCCTGTCATGTCATAGATGGAAGGGTCCCCAGCATGGTTAGGAAGGGACACTGGGCCAAACCAATGAGGCAAATTATGACAGATGGTGGCCAACCCCCACAGTAGACACTTGTTCCCAGGATGCATTGCAAAGCTGCTCCAGCACGACTAAGGTGGCTGCCTCCCCTCCCCTGCAGCCTGGCAGCCATGTGTGTGCATCCTGAATGGCCCTGTGCCCGGCTTGGGCTCATGCCTTTTGTCAAGTCCGTTCAGACAGAGGAGTGCCCGTGTTCTTTGCGGAACGCCCTCGCAACAGAGTAAATGCCAAAGAATCACACTTGAATTTCATTCTGAGCTAAACTAGTCTATTCCAGATTCTATCAAAGCCTCATAAAGGAAACCAAAGGGAAGAGATTCTATCCTCAAACATGTTGTTTCTCCCCTGAGCTTGTGAAAGACCATTCTGCTCTGTCTTAGAACGCCTCTGATGCTGCTCCCCGAGTACCAGATCCATGGGGAATTTGTGGGGAGCCCTTCTCTACAGACAAAAAGTCATACTAGGAAGACTTTGTGGGCTACTAAAGTGTAAAGTATGCTGGGCACACAACCCTTTATTTTATGAAAAAATAAAATGTATGTATATGAATGTCAGCTTCCCAGTACGTTACTAAAAGAATTCTGCCCCCAGAGGACTTCAGGGTGTGTGCGGGTGTGGATGGAGCATTTCCATTATTGGATGTGCAACAGAAAAAGGGACACTGAAATTTAAAAGTGACCTGTGTAGTCTCAGGGCCTCCTGCTTGGCTGTGGCAGGAGGGCTCAGTCCAAAGGCCAGGGGCATGGCCACCTGTGTAGGCTTCTCCACTAGGACTTTGCAAGGTCCTGTTCCTCTTGTCTCGCTTCTGAAACACTGTGTCAGATGATATTGCAAACAGATAGCAGCTGGTATACGTTCTCCCACCCCAAGGACAAAATACAGACATCAACAGGTAGACCTTGGTAAGACCCCTGAGAAAAGAAAGAGGACCTAGGAGCCATTGGGCAGGATTCACCTAGCTGGCACTTCACCCGCCCAATTCTTCCAGCCCCAGCTCCCCATCTAAAAATTATGAGAGTGGTCATGGCATCCAAACCTTGCCTTCTATAGATGCCAACCCTGAAAGGGGAAGTCTCCAGTGAGCTGCCCGGCTGACGACAAAGAAGTAGGGGAGCCCCAAAGCCCTGACTGGCACCATCCACAGAGACAAATATCCTAGGACATTTTAGGAAGGTCAGCTCTGCTGAAATCGAGACTTTTTTTTTCCTTTTTATTGACTAGGTGCAACTCTGGGAGACTGTGGGGACAGCAGAGGCAGAGGACAGATCTGAGACAGATGTCTTGACAATTCAAGTTGTAGTTAACAGATGGGACAAAATACATCATGTAGAGAAATCCCAAATTCCCAGTTGGGGGTGGGTGGAGTAAAGACAGATGAGAGTGACTCTCTTTTAGAAACTGGGCCAGGGGTGGGGACAGGGTCTAGACTTCATGTAGTGTTTGTGGAGAACAGTTTTCTGGAAGCATCTCTGTGAGTGCTTCCATTGTCATCTGGTGGACACATGAGTTCCAGAGCCTCCGAGAGGTCGGGCTGGCAGGCGCAGGACTCAAGGGCCTCTGAGGACTTGCAGGGTGGTGGTGGTGGCTAGAATCCCCCCACCCCAGAGCACTGGAACAGATGCTCGCAGTCAACTTCTTGCGTTTTGAACAGATGGGGAGAGGTTGGCCTGGCTGGGGAAGCTTCTGCAGAGACAGGATGAATAATACCCAGTGGTATTCGCCTTATGCCTTATAGCTGTCGAAACACTGCTCCAGGCACCATCTCCCTTAAGCCTTAGGACTACCTCCTTCAGCACATAAAGGACACATTTTAACAGGAATATACCAAAGCCCAGAGAAATGACCTGTCTCACTAGAAACAACTTGTCAGAGACGAGCAAGGATCCAAACCAAGATATTTCTGATGCCAAATCCCTTGCACAAGAGACCTTTATTTTGATTTCAACTCCTACTATATGGCTTCCAAAGTGCGTGATTTCATTTTGGTTTCTATAATGAAATATTTGAGGCTGTGGCATTTATTTATTTACTTATTATGTATTTGGTAAAGAGTCTCACAATGCAGCTTGGATTTGTAGTGATCCTCTTGTTTTCAGCCTCACCCACACTTGGATTACAGGTGTATACCACCATGCCTGCTCTAGATGGTCGGCTCAGTGTGCCTGGTGGTGGGGCTGATGTGGCATGTGGTTCTGGGGATTGAACCCTGGTCCCTGCACTTGCCTAGGCAGGTGCTTAGTCTGCTGAGCTATCTCACTGACCCTGAGGCTGTGGCATTTATAAAGAAAGGAGATTTAGTTAGTTTTGGAGGTTTGAGGCCATGGTGCCAGCATCAGCTCAGCTCTAGGGAGGATCTTGCGGCGGTTGACATGACATGATAGTAAGGTGCACAAGAGGGAAAGCTCATGTGACAAGCTGTGGAAACTACATTAATCCCTTCTAAGGGCCACATCCCCAGTGACCTAATGACCTTCACTAGGTCCCACTTCTTAAAGGTTCTTTCAATACGGCTACAAGGGGGATCTATCTTCCCATGCAGGGACTCCCGGGCACATACTTACAATCATGTGCAAAAAATAACACTGAGCTTGCAACATCAGTTCTCTAATTCACGAGATTCCAGGTAACTCTGAGGCCAAGGTCTCTACAGCATGCTAAGATCTGGCTGGTTTTCCTTCTCTGACCTGGTAAGAGTCACCATCTCTAAGATTCTCATGTGTCAAGTGTCTGGTTAGAGATCTGTTGACTTACCTTGCTGCCGATGCCACTGTTGGGGCCTCTATCACACTGAGGATGGCAGTGCCACAGACCAAAGGAAGCCGCTTGCAGAAGCACTGTGGATACGTGGACCAAGAGCCCCAAGGCCACTGACCTACATGATATGTGCCATGAGTTGGAAACCAAGTCGTTCTGCATTAAGGGGAGAACTCCCTAGGCTGATTTCTCTCCACACCATTGCCTCCCCTCCCCTAACTAACACAGAAATGTGCTTGTGAAATGGAATGATTTCATAACAAACACCTAAAATATTGCTGGTTGGGTGGTGAGCAGTAAGGGAACACATGGCGGGGCCCGTGTTATATCATGACAAAACATTTGCTAAATTGTTGCCTACGATCACATGGAAGGCAGATTTTGTGCTGTTGAGGAAAATGATTTTTTAAACAAAGTCTCCTGCCCACCTCTCCATCATTGTGGAAAAGAAAGAAAACAGTTCTGCTATTGAATATGCATTCAGCAAGACTGGGGTATGTCACATGTAATTTGCTAATGTGATTACAAAGGCAAAAGACATCCCACCTTCTCTGTGATTTTTTTTTTTGAGGCAGGGTCTCATTATGTAGTCCAGGCTGGCCTTGAACTCACTTATATAGCCCAGGATGGCCTCAAACTCACAGCAATACTCCTGTCTCAGCCTCCTAAATGCTGGGATCACAGGTGTGTACTACCACACCTGGAGGTGAGGCCCATGTCACACAAATTCCCATGTGTGAGGGACCTGTCCTTAGGAGAGAAGACTTCACAGCATCACTTTCGACCTGCTATCATAGGTTGCATTGTTTATTTTATTTTATTTTGTATTTTAGGGAAGGGTCTACAGGGTGTTCAGGGTCTCACTACTAGATCTGACTCCTAGTGATCCACCTGTTCACAGCCTCCCAAGAGCTGGGATTACAGGCACGTGCCACCATGCCGTCTCAATTGCTGTCTCAGTGTGCCCCAGGGGTAGGGCCAGCATGGCAGGCCTGGGGATTGAAACCCTGGTTGAGCTATTTGGCTGGCCATCATAGGTTGCTTTGAACTGACTTAGTCACTGTGGTGGCAATCTGTCTAATTCATTGCCTTTTGGGAAGAAAAATTAAAAGTTTTAAAAAATCTCTTGGACAAGCGAGTAGTCTAAACACCCAGGCTAATGCCATTTTGTGAGAGCATGACACAACACCAGCTTCCTTGAAAGAGATGGTACAGGCCCTTCAGAAAAACGCCTGGATTTGGACCCCATTAAAAGTTTTATTCTTACCTTTAAAAATATTTGCCTGAGTATTAAAAGAACAGAGGAAATTTATGTTGTCTGTGTGGCTCACACTTGCGTAAGATTAACTAGTGGAGTAGAAACTGCCCTCTGTACCAAAACGACTCTTGCCTATTTCTGTTTCTTCGAAGATTGAATTTGATACGTCTTTTCACCTATGTAGGGCCTTGTCTCAATTGCTTTTCTATCATTGCTGGGACAAAATACCAGGCCCCCAAAGTTAAAGAAGGAAAGGTTTATTTAGCTCATAGTTAGTAGTCCATACTTGGCTGGCTCCAAGGCACAGTGCCACATGGCAGAGGGCACAGCTTATAGAAGCTGAAAACAGCAAAGAGCAAAGGGAGGAGCAGCAGCTGCAGAAAGCCCCTCTCCCTTCCTTCTACTGTAGTCAGGCTCTCTGCCCCAGGGTGGGCGTAGCACTCACACTCATAATCCCAGCACTGGATCATAAATTAATCACAGTCTCTAGAAGCCCACCCCATGACTGCATGAGGCTTTGAGGGGACAACTAGAAACAATCCACAACACATTTCAAACAGGCCTTTAGGCCAAACATATTCACTGTATAAAAAGATAGTCTCTTTATTAAATAGGTACTGGAAAAACTGGTTTTCCACATGCTAAAGACTAAAGCTAGATTCAAGTATATTATGTACTAAACTGAGGTAAAAACAGATCAAAGACCTAAATATTAAAACAGAAACACTAAGTCTACTGGAAGAGAAAGGTCTATAGGTAGAGATCTTGAAGACACAGGTATAGGCAGAGACTCATGAACAAAACCCAGATCACATGAGAAATACTACAAAAATCAACAACTGGGATCTCATCTTATTAAAAAGATTTTGCACAACAAAAGAAAGCACAGAGTGAAAAGACAACCCACAGAGTGGAAAAAAATTTTAGTCAGTTGTCTCTCAGACAAAAGACTTCTATCTAGAATATATATGAAAAAAAAGAGACCCCCCCCAAATTTCAAGACCCAGTCCAGAAATGTGCATCTGAGATGAATATGCACTGCTCAGATGAAGAAATACAAATGGCAAATAAATACGTGAAAAAGTGTTCAGTGTCATTTGAAAGATGCAAATTTAAACATGCTTAGAGTCCATCTCACTACAGAAAGAACGGCCACCATCAACAAATGCTGGTGGGGCTGTGGGGGAAAAAAATAACTTTTCTCCACTGTTGTTGGGAGTGAGGACTGGTGCAGCCAATGTGGAAATTCCTCAAAAAACTAGAATTAGAGGTCCCATTTGACCCAGCTATTCCTCTTCTAAGTATATCCCTAGAAAAATTAAAAACATTGTACCTCAGAGATATATGTGTATACTTGTTTATAGCAGCACAGTTTGTAATAGATAAATCTTGAAAACAACACAAATGCCCATCAATCAAGGAATGGATAAAGAAGATGTGGGTTTTTTTTTTTTTTTTTTTTAATACAATGGAGTACTACTCCACCCTGAAGAAAGATAAATTGAGACTTACAGGTAAATGG